GGTGTCCATGGACTCACCTCCATGTACATATACCCGCACTGGGGTTATCATTTTTAATAGATGAGAAATCACACTTCATTGCTTTAATCTGCATTTCCGATTTTGGAATAAAGTGAAATAAATTGACCTTTTTATTCTAGCTTTGCTGTTTTCTTTCTACTGATTTGGCTGTTCCTGTTCTTCATTCATTTTAGCATTCGTGGTCCTTCTGTTTCCTAACCAACTTGCTCGAGTTCTTTTTGTTGTTATTTATTAATTTATTGTTATTTAAATGCTTTCCCTAGGCTGCTCTTTTGCTTTAAAAAATATTATTATTACTATTATTATTTTGCACTACAACTTGTTGCTCTTTTCCTTTGTATTTACTTCTAAGCTTAGGAAGTTATCACCTCATTAGAGACCTGGAAAAGGTTCCATTTAACATGCTTTGTTACATAGTAAGGGATAAGTGAAAAAACTTATTTTCCAAATTATCAAGCCATTATTACCACACTATTTAAAAAATACTTTCTCTCTTTATTGCTTTGTAATGCCTTTTTATCATAAATTATCCTATATTTATTTCTGAGCTATCCAATCTTTTATTGATGTCTCTGTTTATTTTTATAAATGTAACTATGGAGCACATTTTATTTTTACCCTTTAGTCTGAGTTTTCACCAATGCATAGTAGGTACTTTCTGGATCCAAATACTAGGAATTGATCTTAGGCAGAATAGTTGGGACAAAATGGAAGAAACTAATAATTACAACTTTATTTAAGTTTCTCTGATCACTTGGTTCTGTGCTGTTCCTGCAATATTTAGTTAATATATTTCTTTGAATGCTGCTTCAAATTTCATTTCAAAATTGAGGGGGAAAATTTAAAAACAATTGATAAACTTCTAAGTAAAATTTTATTTGCCTTTTATGTTAGAGGCAGAATTTAAGGAAAAATCCTGATGATTTTGATTAGTTGGGCAATCTGTTATTAATTAATTAATTATCTATCCATTTGTTTATTATTCTTGGTGAACAGTCTCTTCGAAGTCAGATTGCAGCTTTTTTTAATCATAGAAGATATTGTTTTCCTTGTAATGGCCCTGAATACTGTGTTCTGTGTATTGGCAAATACCTGAGCTTAATAGGTGGGTGGTGCCCTAAGTGTAGATGTTATGTAAGGAATTATCATCTGCTTTTAGAGTTAGTCATCCCTCGAAGTCGAAGGAGTCAGTAAGGCATAACGAAATCAGGAGGCTTGTGTGGCAGCCCTGATTCCCACACCGATTAATTACCTCTCTGGAGCTCAGTTTCTTCACCAGTAGAATGAATAGGTTGGCCTCTTAACCCCAAATATCTTTCCCATATTGACGTTCTGTGATTCTCTTTCCATGAGATGTTACCACTAAGAATCCTTATTTCCATGTTGCCTTCTAAAATTCAAAGGCAAGGGAAGTAAAGGCAAAAATAAATGAATGGGACTAGATAAAATTAAAAAGCTTCTGCACAGCGAAAGGAACTATCATCAAAATAAAAAGGCAACCAACTGAATGGGAGAAAATATTTGTAAACAACACCTCTGATAGGGAGTTAATATCCAAAATCTATAAAGAACTCATACAACTCAACAACAAAAACAACCCAATTAAAAAATGGGCAGAGGACCTGGACAGACATACAAATGGCCAACAGATGTATGAAGAAAATCACTACCTATTAGGGAAATGCCAATCAAAACCACAGTCAGATACCACTTCATACCTGTTAGAATGGCTACCATCAACAAGACAAGTAATAACAAGTGATGGAGAGGTTGTGGAGAAAAAGAAAGCCTCATTCACTGCTGGTAGAAGTGTAAATTGGTGCAGCCACTATGCAAAACAGGATGGAGGTTTTGCAAAAAATTAAGAATGGAGTTACCATATGACCTAGCAACCCCTCTTCTGGGTATCTACCTGAAAAATTTGAAAACATTTATTTGTAAAGATATATGCACCCCTATGTTCATTGCAGCATCATTCACAGTGGCCAATACATGGAAACAACCAAAGTATCCTTTGATAGAGGACTGGATAAAGAAGATGTGGGACATGTATACAAAACTCAGCCATAAGAAAAGATGAAATACTGCCATTTGTGACAACATGGATGAATCTTGAGAATATCATGCTAAGCGAAATAACTCAGATGAAAAAAGTCTAGAACCATGTGATTTCACTCATATGTGGGATATAAGACTGAAAGCAACAAATGAACAAACAAGACAAAAAAACAAATAAAAACTGATAGACACAAACAACTGTGTGGTGGTCACCAGAGGGAAGGGGGGTGGGTGTAGGAAAGGGTAAAGGGAGTCAAATATATGGTGAGGGAAGGAGACTTGACTTGGGGTGGTACATACACAGTGCAATATAGAGATAATGTATTATAGAATTGTACATTTGAAACCTATATAATTTTATTAACAAAGTTCACTCCAATAAATTTAATAAAAAATTTTAAAAAGCAAAATAGAAAAGAGGAAAATAAAAACCAGAGTTTAATTTTAATTTTTTGAAATGTCATTGGTGGGTCATGCTGCCTTAATCCAACAGTTCTTAATTAGAAGTGAATCTTAGAATTACCAGTGAACATTTAAAATATATGTTTATATGTATGTGCACATACACAATGATGGCCAGAATTAAAAAGACAGATCATAAGTGTTGGCAAGGATGTGGAGAAATTGGGAGACCCCCCTCCGCTGCTAGCGGTAATGTAAAATAGTGTCACTGCTTTGGAAAGGAGTGGTGCTTCCTCAAAGATTTAACTTGACCCCACAGTTCTACTCCCTGGTATTTACTCAAAAGAATTGAAAACAAGTGTTCAAACAAAAAACTCTCCATGAATGTCCATAGCAACTCTATTCACAACAGCCAAAAAGTAGAAATAACCCAAATGTCCATCAACTGATGAATAGATAAATAAAATGTGGTAAAACTATGCAATGGAATATTATTTGGTAATAAAAAATAAATGAAGTACTGGATACATGCTATAGCATGGGTGAGCTTTGAAAATATTATGTAAGTGAAAGAAGCTAGTCACAAAAGACTATATATTGTATGATTCCAGAAAATAGATTAATGGTTGCCTAGATGTGGGGGAGGCACAGGCTTGCTGGGGGAAAATAGGGAGTGACTTCTAATGAGTACAAGGTTTGTCTTGGGGGGTAATGAAAATGTTCTATAATTGGTTGTGATGATGGATGCACAACTCTGTTAATACACAAAAACCATTGAATTGCTAAATTTTATGGTATGTGAATTATATGTCAATAAAGTTGTTTTTGAAAAAAGTATGGGTTCTAGAGAATTATCACCTAGATTTGAATCCTAGCTCCATCACTTAAATTTCCTCTTAGTTCTGGGTGAACATGAATATCAACTGTGAAGATGATGACATTGAAGAGAATGGGTAGCAGAAATGAGAGGAAATCACTTATGAAGCAAGTCATAAGGGCAGGATTGAGCTTGGTTTGTTTGCGGGCCCTGAAGTCAATAGCTAGTTTAAACATTTACAAGCCAGAGGTAGCAATCTCTCAGAGGCTTTGGCTGGTGATGATGTCCAGGATGACAATACTGCCATGTGGGGATGACATGGCACTAGGCTGGATCATGTTTGTTCTGGTGCCAGGTTGGGCCACGGCAAAATCCTGAGGAGGAAACGAGAATCTAAAGAAACTCTTTTTTTGGAAGCTAGCTGTGCCTGTGGCCTGAAGGTCCCACAGATTTGTCTGCTTATCCAGGACTTAGTCGGAGAAAAAAGAGTAAGCCTTGGGTTAGGTGGTGTGTGCCTGTGTCTGCGAGCAGGGTTTGTGAGAAGGGGACATGTCTGATCCTTGGCCTCTCTCATTTAAACCATGGTGGGGAGTGGGGGTGGGGTAAAAGGGGCCCTCCATGTCTACACTCTTGCTTTCATTTGTCCAGATCCCCTGAGAACTAATTTTGAGTGTGGCAAAATGAGTTGGAAATGTCGAGTGAGTTGCCCAAAGTCTCCAGTCAGGTGACAGAACTAATTGTACAATCCATGTTAGAGTCCTTCCTCAGATTGCTTATTTTGGTTCTTGGGGCTAAAATTGTAAGGCTTTTAGAGTGCGCCTAATATTAGAAAACGCATCATTCTGTTTTGCTTTCTGATAATTACCGTCTTTGCTTCCGTCACTTCTAGCTAAGGATCATCATCTCTCTAGTCAAACTTTGCCGGAAACCCCAGCCACTGATGTGAGTGGCCCCTCCGCACCCACCAGCACAGCCATCGCAGACCCCAGAGCCAGGCTGCGGGCCTATATAGACAGCCACCCTGTGGTCATCTTCAGCAAGTCCACGTGCAGACACTGTACTGAGGTAAGGCTGTAACCTCAAGGGTTGGCAACAAGTTGTTGAATTATAGAAATCTGACAGACTTTTGAGCTCAGGTGTAAACAACTGGATTTCCCCTTAGTATGGGGGTGGGGGTAGGTGTAACTTGCTGCAGAGTACTTGGGGAATGTTGATTTGAGAAAAAAAATACTGCCTGTGTCATGTTTTTCTGAGCCTTTGCAAAGTACTAGATGTTTCAGGTGGTCAGGGTCAGGGTCAGGGTCAGGGAAAGTTAGGGTGGGGGGGTTTTGCTGCTCTTTTAGTCATGTCTATAGGGAATATTTCTTAAGGAGCTGTTACTTGGGGCACTCTGAACTTTTGATAAATATCTCTTCATGCTCTGGTTTATTATGGGGAAAATGATTTCACAAAGAATCAACTGTGCTTCCTACTTGGTTCTTCACCTTAGGTGATCAGAGGGAAAAGTTCAGTGGTCACTGTGATTTAACCTTAGCATGAAGGTGAGAGTTGAAAGACAAACCTGTTCTGGTGCTTTATAGGAAGGTTGAGGGAGTTTAAATGTCACTGAAGTTTAGCTTTAAATTGTACTCAGGGTAGTTCTAGAACTAGACACAATGGACTTTTAGGTTAGCATAATTGGCCTTCTGTCCAGGATCACCTGTAGAGTAATTTATTAAGTTCCATCTCCTTTCAGCTTCTTTGTCTCTTGACTTACTTTCCAGCTCTCAGGGGGGTTTTATTTGGAAGCCTTTTTATTCTGGAAGTCTTACATAGAGAAAGGCTTTTTTGACTCTGTCTGTGTGTGTGCTATTTTTCCAAAAAGAAGAAAAAGGGAAGATGGGCACGCAGTGGGAACAGTTAAAGTAGGGAGAACCTTGCATTTGTTTCTCATTGAACATGCTTGTGTCATTGCCACCAAGGCCCCATCTCTCCTAATGTCTTACTGCAAAAAGATAGGAGACACAACTGCCATCACTAGGGGGTTTAGTCAAACTGAGAAGGCAGAACAGAATCTTAAAAAGAAAAAGACCTAGGATAACCCACTGTAAATTTTAAATGATGAGTATAAGTGATAGAGAATTTAGAAGGGGGCTGGGTATCAGGAATCTGAGGTATAATTCCTGGCCTCTGGGGGCTAATTATCTAGCTCTGTGATCTTGTGCACTTTTAAAATTTTTTTGTTAATGCTCACATGAGTACATTTTTTCCATTGATCTTTTAGAGAGAGTGGAAGGGAGGGTGAGAGACAGAGAGACAGAAACATTGATGTGAGAGAGACATATCAACTGGTTGCCTCCCACACCCACCCCAACCGGGGCTGGGAATCGAGCCTGTAACCGAAGTACGTGCCCTTGACCAGGAATTGAACTGGAACACTTCAGTCCACAGGCCAGTGCTCTAACCACTGAGCAAGACCAGCTAGGGTGATCGTGTCCAGTGTTGAGGTTCCTCTCCCTATTTGTTTAATCTTTAAAGTGAGGGGCGTGGACTAGTTGATTACTAGTTGATTTTTTTTTTAGCTTTGAAACTATGTGGTTGTTCAATCTTTTCTGTTACCAAAAATGGTTAGGAGTTAGGACTCTGAAGTCAGAATTTGGATCTTGGCTCTGTGACCTATTAGCCATGTGACCTTGATTAACTTATTTACCTGCTGGGCCTTAGTTTCCTTACCTAGTAAAATATGCATAAGAATAATACCTATCTCATAAGTTTGATTAAATTCTTTAATATTTCTAAAAGCCATACAACATGCCTGGCACATAGTGCTATGTAAGTGTTTGTTAAATAAAAGAACTCCTTGCTTTTTCTGTCTTCCTGTCAGGACCTAAAACCTTGGATGGTGGCCTTCCTTCCATCAATACAGAGGCTTGGCTAGATCGCAGTCTACAAATATCTGACTCTATCCCAAGTACAATTAGTCCTAGTAAGGAGGGGTTACTTTTTCTAGGCTAGCCTCTCCCTTCAGAGCTTCATGCCCATGATGGATAGTAAAAGGAACGCTGCAGTTAAAAGGGCTCAGTTCTCATTTCGTAAATCTGTTTCCTCAACAACAACATAAGGATGATACCATCTTCTCTACTAGCTGTTAAACACACAGCTTTATTATGAGGCCCAGATGATTTCAAATCTGCGTGAAACCACTCGGGAGCACTCAGTACACGCTTATATTAATAATAGCTACCACTTGAGTGCCTACTATGTGCCACACATGTTTTAGTCACTTACATTTTAAAAACACTTCTAGAGAATTGGACCATTCCAATTTGGACGCTGCTCTAGTTATGCAATGAAGGGTTGGGCTAGTGTGATCAGGATAGGTGGTTAGGTCTCCTGTTCCCTGCAGATCTTTTCCACGGTAATGACTCATCCTGCTACCTTATCCCTGAATTCTACTAGCTTCTTCATTTCTAGCTCTCCTCCTCGTCTCTGAAAAGGCAAAGCCTAGCCTTTTTCTGTTTTACTTAATTAAATGTACTCTGGGAATGATCAACTTTTCCTTAAAAATCTGTGGCAGGTGATTTGCATGCTTATTTTTATAAAAGTATAGTAGTTCTGGCAGTTTTATTTACTGTCATTATCTGAAAAATTCCTGGATATGCCAAGTCTTCTGGACAAACATCTTCTGGGTTTACCTTGATAAATACCAGTTCCTTAGCTTTTCCAAATACATAATATAAAAACTATTTTCAGGTTTGTGCCAACTGACATAAGTTAATTTTCAATATTTTTGGCTATGAAGGATAGTTAGGCGTCTCTCCTGGTAAAATTTTCTCCTGGTGACTTTCTTCTGTGGGGGTGTAGCTTATATACTTGGTTATTTACATTCTTTTTTTTTTTAAATGCCATTAACTAGAATTTCCCCAGGTTATTTCCTTCAGTTTTGGTTTTATCATCTCATTTAATAATTGTGATGTGAGTAAATGAGAATAGAGCAACTTAATTTATAATTGCTCTAATTAATTTGTATTTCTCTCTGGGATCAGTAATATAACTTGCATTAATTGAGAAATGCCCACAAAGAAATGAACTTCTGCATCAGGTTAGTTTCCCGCTTGTTACCTAGCACGTTACCATGTGCTTCTAATGCATCCTACTGCAAAGAAGAGGTTTTAAAGTACAAAGATAAACCCTCCCTACCCTTGCAGAAAATGTGGTATTTGTTTCTTACAAATATTTCAGTGGGAAGGAGGGTATGCAGTTGGAATTAGCAGATGATGTCTCGTTGCAGCTTACCTATTGCTTGATATGCAGATCTACTTCCACTTCTCAATAAAGTGTCTATTTTACAGGCAAAGTTTCATCCTCTAGTTTTCTTAGTAAGAACGTTCTAGAAGCTGGCACTTCTGATATCAAGACAGACAGATCTTGAATCTTGAATGGTGGAACCATGCTAAAGTTTAATCAGAGTTAAAATAACCTACAGAATGGTTTCTTGAAATGGGGTCATGTTTTCTCTGGAATCTAAAGAGTATGTTTTCTATATTCACATATTATCAGAGTTTGAGAATTGCTTTTAGGAGCTGCGTTTAGGACTTACTCTCTAAATCTGGAAAACTTGTGTGTGTGTTTGTAACAAACTGCAAATGGTTTATTTCTAAACCTGAGCGGCTAAGAAATCTAATGAGTCCATGATTTTATATGTGTATGAACTTACTTTTAGTCTTAGAAAATCAACATTGTAATATAAGTGGACTTTTATCCAGGTGGTGTCCCAGCTGTAGCTTTCCTGCCCAATTCCTTAAATTCCTCTACTCACCCCAGCATTCTTCAAAAGGATTACTGTTATTTTAAGTGCATGTTGCCAGAGGGAGCTGAGTTCAGACTGGGGCATAGGTACTGTCCAAAGGGAGTGTAAGAGGAAGGTGACCAAGGTGTGTGAATGCATTTGTTCTCTCATTTTTGTCAAAATGTTGTACTTGGTTCTATACCAATGATAGAAACCCTCCAGTGTACTTCTGTACAATGGGAAGCCTGCACATTTAGTAGTTAGATTAGAGTGGGACAAGAGCACCTTCCTTTGATTGACCATTTCTGTGAACTCCAGGTTACTCTGGCCTTTTTCATTTTATTGTGTAAGCTGAAGGAATGTGGTTCTAAACTTTCCTATTAATGACAGACTGTGAATTGTATGTAAATGTCACTTTAAAGCCTCTTTTATTAGTAATTTAAATATTATTTTAGTGATCTAAATTTGGCAAAACTATTAACCTTCAAGTAAAATTTTGGTTTCTGTATAATCTTGAGCATACGACTTTTCCTCAGGATTGCAACATAATGTTTTGGAAACATTAAGTATTCCAGAGGCTTTTAAAACATGGTTAATATTAAATCAACTTTATAGTGGGGTTGACTGTGTCAATAAACATGTAAAATATATTTTATGAATCCATATGGGTGAATTAGAGAAAATAGAATAAAATCAAGAGACTTAAAATACCCTTTTTAAAAAAATTGACTTTTACGGAGAGAGGAAGAGGAACATCGGTGTGAGAGCAGTACATTGATTGGCTGCCTCCTGCACTCTCCTTACTGGGGACTGAGACCACCATCCAGGCGTGGGCCCTAGCTGGAAATCGAACCAGCAGCCTTTTGGTGCAGGGAGTGATGACCAACCAACTGAGCCACTCCGGCCAGGGCTTAAGTACCCTTTTAAGTAGCATTACTATCAGCAGGAAGATTGTTGTGGGTTATGTGAAAATGAACTGGAAAGTTTCCAAGGAGAAGGCTGATTAAGGAAGGGGCAGTAACAGAGCTGGGTAAGCAACTCTTCTGTGGGCCGCTGCTGCTTCTCCTTGACATTCTCCCCTTGTTTCTCAACTTTTTCCAGGTAAAGAAGTTATTTAAATCGATGTGTGTTCCTTATTTTTTGCTCGAACTTGATCAGACAGGTAAGATTCTGTTTAATATGTAAATTGTATCTGCTGACTGTACGCTTTATGTAATTTATTTTGCCTGGCTTTTATTTTTCTTCCTTGAGGATTTTATTGTTTAGTGAGTTCTTACCACTTGACTCCTCTCTTTTTGCCATTTAGATGGGGCATTTTCCAGGGACAAATCATATTTACCTCTAATCTTTACTTAGTTTATAGCCTTGGTATAATTCTGAGTTTCCTGTTGTTGAAATCATTCTTCCCATTAACTTTGAGTCTAGTTACAGGGATAGCATTTGCTGGTTTTATGGTAACTTTATTATTTTTGCAAATTTGTCTCCTTTCTGGCAGACCATACCAAATAGTATTTGAATTAAATATAAATTGAGATGCAGTCAAAAATTGTGGAAAGGACATGCAAAGACCAGTAGGGATAAAGATCCACAAAAGGAACCACTGGGAAATAGTTGCATGTGGCTGGAAAGAAAGGTTGGTGGAATAAAACAGAAAGCCTCTTCCTAGAACATGGTGCTCATGTGTTTTGGTCATGCGCCAGAAAATCCCAAAGACTCATTCGTCAAACATTATTAGGAATCTGATCAAGTGCCTGGCATCATCATTTCTATAGGAAAAGTGCCCCCCCATCAGGAAGCATAGGTCATCTTCATGCCTGGTAGCTTGGGGAAGCAGAGTCCTGGGCATTTATAGTTTCAGCCCTGTCTCCAAAGGAATGAAACAGAGAAGAGACTCAGCTGGAGACACTCATGGTAATTGGGATTGAAAGCTCGTATCTAGGGTCAGGAGGAAGGTGGCAGTTGTGGGGCAGGAAACTATTATTTGATGCTTCTAAAGACAGATTGACCAACACAGAGAGACTCAGATAATAACTGCCACTTACTGAATCCCTGCTGTTTCATAGGGATGATGCTGGGTTTAGGTACAATATTAATCCTCATAAGAACTCTGCAAGGAAAATATTACCCATATTTTACAGATGAGGAAACCAAATCCCAGAGTAGTCACATAACTTTCCTAAAGTCATATAAGTAGTGGCTCCTTAATTTGGACACAAGCCTGTCTAATTCCAAAGTCTGTGTTTTTTCCCTAATGCCATATTGTGAGTCCTCTCTAGCATGACCTTTCTATTCCTCCATCGAGGAAGACTCTTGGCCCTAAACACTCCATAGTACATGGAAGGAAAATCTCAATTAAAATTTCACCTGGGCCAAAAAGTAGCCTTTTAAAAATGTAAGTTTTGCCAGGCCAGTATGGCTCAGTGGTTGAGCATCGACCTATGATCCAGGAGATCACAGTTCGATTCCTGGTCAGGGCACATGCCCAGGTTTCGGGCTCGACCCTCAGCAGGGGGTGTTTAGGAGGCAACCGATCAATGACTCTCTCATCATTGATGTTTCTATCTCTCTCTATCCCTCTCCCTCCCTCTCTTTGAAATCAGTAAAGACATATTTTTTAAAAAGTAAATTTTCCTGGGAGAGTTAAGTCACTGGCAACTTGGTATGAATTAGAAAAAAGCCACAACAAGATGATTAAACTAAGAAGAGAAAGCAAATGAGCATGTCCATAGGATGGGAAACAAGGCAGGTAGCACTGGAAGCGGATGGGGAGGACGGAGGTGCCGAGTGCTTCTGGGCGTGAGTCCGCAGGCAGGTTGGTTGGCAAAGGTGCCAAAAGGTGAATGGGAGGTTGGTAAAGGCAAATGTCACGTACTTTTGAAACTTTAATTCTGGCAACATTAATCAGACAGGAAGCTCCTTTCCATTACTGTAGAAGTGGCCACAGGTCTATAGGTCACGGCTGAGAGCCCCCCCTCAGGCCTTGCTAAAGTCCTGCCTGAGAAACTGGAAGTATGTGAGTTGGGATAGGATTGATTAAGCCAGCTTCTGTAGTTGAAGGACGGCAGCTTCTGGCTAGTTGAGGAGCTGGTGGTCCTCTGTGTCCTCACCTGCTGCTTCACCACATAAGAAACTATCATCCTCCTCCTGCTCACTGACAGTCTGGGACTTGGGCAGCTTGCAGAAACCGATCAGGATTTACAGAGTGCGGCAGCATTCTCAGAATGTGGTCTGCAGACCCCTGGAGGTGCCTGAGGCCTTTCCGGGGCCCTCAAGTTCAAAACTGTTTCATGATCATGTTAAGATGCTGTTTACACCATTGAGCCTTTTGCTGATAGTGCAGAAGTGGTGGTGGGTACAACTGCTGGTGTCTAAGAAGAATCTAAGTGGGGGCATCAAACTAGACTAGTGTATATTGTAGGCTTCACTACCACACACTCACAGTAAAAGAAAATGTCAGTTTTACTCAAGGCTGTTCTCATTAGGTCGTACAGGTTATTAACTTTACTAAGTCTCAACCCTTTGAGTATACCTATTTGTAACAGGTATGTCACGAGGGAGTATGCATAGAGTGTTTTTGCTATTTGAAGTATGATGGTGTCTCGAGGAAAAGCACTTGTGCAATTAGTGGCTGGAGTTGCCAACTGAACAAGCTGCTTTTTTCATGGAACACTGTATATACTTGAAGGAATGACTGAGTCAGACTCCGGTTATTCAGACTTGGGTATTTGGAAGACATTTCCCCCAAATGTATAACGTGGATCTATCACTTCAAGGAAAACAACTGACAGCATTTGTTGCCAATGATAAAGTTTGAGTTTTCAGGTGAAAATTAGAATTTTGGAAGTTGTATCTGCCATGTGAGTTTGATAGCTTACTTAAAATACTTTTCTGATAAGGTTGGTGGCAATATTTATGAGTATAATTTTTTTTGATGTTGTATACTGAAATATGTCAATATTTGGAAGATCTGCATAATTTAGTGATTGGATATTTTCTGAATCATCAATGTATGATCTTACAAAATCATTCATGGGTAAAAGAGCCATACAAAGTGTAAGATGGACCAATGGACTTAATGGGATAGAGTATGAAAACCTCCTTCACATGGTTTTAGAGTCCACAGTGCAGTTAACCTTTAATCAACTACTACTTGTTGAGTTTTGGTGTCATATCAATGAAGAATATCCATAATCATCTGAAAAATCTATTAAGTATTTCTCCTTTTCTCCAACTACTTGTGTTTGTGACTCAGGGTTTTCATCATATACCTCTACCAAAACAAAGTATGTCACAACATGTGACATTCTCATATTAAGAAGCAAATATGAGAATCTAGCTCTTATATTAAACCAGACACTAAAAAACTTGTAAAAATGTAAAGTAATGCCAACCTTTTCACTATATATTTTTGAAAATATAGTTATTTTTAACTAAAGTATGTTATGTAGACATGTAATGGGTTTATTATTGTTCATTTTAAGAGAATTAGTAAATAAATATTTTTAAATGTTTCAGTTTTAACTTCTAATATGATAAATATTAATATCTATGACCCATATAAACAAAAGTTATTTGGGGTCCTCAATAATTATTTAAGAGTGTAAAGGGGTCCTGACACCAAAAGTTTGATATCTCAGGTTTTAGGGCTAGTACGAAGTGTGAGTGTTATTAACCCAAGCACTTGGGACTCTGCGAGATTTACTTGTCTAAGCCTAGGAGGAACACTGTCCAACATGCACAGGGCCTCACACAGGAGAGATGTATGATCTGGTCCATGTCTTCTAGAAGGTTTTAATTTTGGGACTGGAATTGCTGATGTGGTCTCTAAGTGCTGGTTTCATGAATGAACAGCTTCTCATCTGTTTCTGCTGGGCTCCATGAAGATCCCTTCACAGGCCTGATTTTTATACTGGCCTTGCTACCTAATCTCCCCAGTGCCTAGATCTTAGATTCTCAAAGAGCCAGACAGTCAGTTGATAGGGGTATCTGGTATAGAATCAAGTGGGTGCATTTATTCATCCAGCATGGTTACTGAGTGCTTGCTGTGTGCTAGGCTCTACTAAGCACTGGAAACAGAGTAGGGAACTAGGCTTGTATGCTTTCTACTCTTATGGAATTAGGCTTGCCTTTTTTTTTTGCCACAGGAAATCCCCTTTCCTTTCCTTTTGAGTTGGGGACTGTGGCAGCCAGTACAATGTGGCTCCTAACTGGATTGGTAATGGAGTGACGGCAGTGATTCCTGAGTTTGCGGTAGTATCACCGCAGGAAATCAAGAAGGGAAGCTGTGCCACCAGGGACCCTCCCCACCAACCTGACATTTTCCTCTTCCTCCTTTTGGGCTGTATGTTAGACCACTCTATATAAATTAAGGTTATTACTTGAAAATAACCATCAAGATCAACTCAGATCTACAAAGTTTGGTATTGGAGAGAGGAGCTGAGCACCCGGAAGGCAAGGTATTAGCATGTGTGTGGGCAGTGGTAATAATCGTGCATGCTGTCTTCCCTGTGCCCGAAGCTCATGCATGTTCTGCGCAACCTTCAGAGTACATCAGTGAGGTAGGTTGTGACATCACCTTCTTATGATGAAGAAACAAAGTATAGAAAAGTATTAATGTGGAGGATAGTTGACCTGCTAGTAAGCCCATTGGTAATTCTTGGTCCCTCCCTGTGCTTCCTCAGAACCTTTCAGGCCTCACCCCGCCTGCCTTATGTATGATGCTCATGATACTATGATAAGTGTTCCTGGATGTGACGGCGGCTGTTGTCACCGGAGGTTGTGCAACCTGCCGCCATGCCAGCTGCACCGTAACTACCCCTGTGGATGAGCTGCCACTCACAGGGCCTGTTGATATATGAAGCCTTGTGTCTTGGCTTCAGGTACCTGCCCAGTGGTTTTAATCTGAGGAACAGACTTCAGTATAATCATCTTAATTTGGTCTGGCAGCTGCTGCCATTCTTCAGCTATCACTGTGGAAAACAGTATAAGGTTTGAGAGGACTTGTGTAACAGTTTGCCAAAAGTGTGTATCTGGATGCCCTGTGTCACTAGCATGGGGTTCTGATGAGCGTCAGCTTTGCTCCCTGGCTGCTTATAGATTGCATGGCTTTAATGCCTTCAGCAAGAGGACAGAATCTAACATTTGAATTTCTTTTTTTATATG